ATGTATGAGAATACTATGTATGAGAGTAATATGTATGAGACTATGTATGAGAATACTATGTATGAGAATACTATGTATGAGAGTACTATGTATGATAGTACTATGTATGAGACTACTATGTTTGAGAGTACTATGTATGAGACTACTATGTATGAGACTACTATGTTTGAGAGTACTATGTATGAGACTACTATGTATGAGAGCACTGTGTATGAGAATACTATGTATGAGAATACAATGTATGAGAGTACTATGTATGAGACTACTATGAGAGTACTATGTATGAGAGTACTATGTATGAGAGTACTATGTATGAGAGTACTATGTATGAGACTATGTATGAGAGTACTATGTATGAGAGTACTATGTATGAGACTACTATGAGAGTACTATGTATGAGAGTACTATGTGTGACACTACTATGTTTGAGTACTATGTATGAGAGTACTATGTATGAGAGTACTATGTATGAGACTACTATGAGAGTACTATGTATGAGAGTACTATGTATGAGACTACTATGTATGAGACTACTATGTATGAGACTACTATGTATGAGACTACTATGTATGAGACTACTATGTATGAGACTACTATGTATGAGACTACTGTGTATGAGACTGTGTATGAGACTACTATGTATGAAACTATGTATGAGACTACTATGAGAGTACTATGTATGAGAGTACTATGAGACTACTATGAGAGTACTATGTATGAGAGTACTATGAGACTACTATGAGAGTACTATGTATGAGAGCACTATGTATGAGAGTGCTATGTATGATAGTACTATGTATGAGACTACTATGTATGAGATTACTATGTATGAGACTACTATGTATGAGACTAGTATGTATGAGACTACTATGTATGAGACTACTATGTATGAGATTATGTATGAGAGTACTATGTATGAGATTATGTATGAGAGTACTGTGTGTGAAACTGCTATGTACGAGACTATTATGAAAGTGCTATGTATGAGAGTACTATGTATGAGAGTACTATGTATGAGACTACTATGTATGAGACTACTATGTATGAGACTACTATGTATGAGCCTACTATGTATGAGCCTACTATGTATGGGGCTATGTATGAAAGTACTATGTATGAGACTACTATGAGAGTATTATGTATGAGAGTACTATGTATGAGAGTACTATGTATGAGAGTACTATGTATGAGAGTGCTATGTATGAGACTACTATGTATGAGATTACTATGTATGAGACTACTATGTATGAGACTACTATGTATGAGAGTACTGTGTATGAGACAACTATGTATGAGAGAACTATGTATGAGACTAATATGTATGAGAGTACTATGTATGAGACTATGTAAGAGTACTATGTATGAGACTATGTATGAGAGTACTATGTATGAGACAACTATGAGAGTACTATGTATGAGACTACTATGAGAGTACTATATATGAGAGTACTATGTATGAGAGCACTATGTATGAAAGTACTATGTATGAGACTACTATGTATGAGAGTACTATGTATGAGAGTACTATGTATGAGAGTACTATGTAGGAGACTACTATGAGAGTACTATGTACGAGAGTACAATGTATGAAACTACTATGTATGAGATTACTATGTATGAGACTACTATGTATGAGACTACTATGTATGAGAGTACTATGTATGAGACTACTATGTATGAGAGTACTATGTATGAGACTACTATGTATGAGACTACTATGTATGAGACTACTATGTATGAGAGTACTATGTATGAGACTACTATGTATGAGACTACTATGTATGAGAGTACTATGTATGAGACTATGTATGAGAGTACTATGTATGAGAGTATGTATGAGACTACTATGAGAGTACTATGTATGAGACTACTATGAGAGTACTATGTATGAGACTACTATGAGAGTACTATGTACGAGAGTACAATGTATGAAACTACTATGTATGAGATTACTATGTATGAGACTACTATGTATGAGACTACTATGTATGAGAGTACTATGTATGAGAGTACTATGTATGAGACTACTATGTATGAGAGTACTATGTATGAGAGTACTATGTATGAGACTATGTATGAGACTATGTATGAGAGTACTATGTATGAGAGTATGTTTGAGACTACTATGAGAGTACTATGTATGAGAGTACTATGTATGAGAGTACTATGTATGAGAGTACTATGTATGAGAGTACTATGTATGAGACTATGTATGAGACTACTATGTATGAGACTACTATGTATGAGACTACTATGTATGAGAGTACTATGTATGAGACTACTATGTATGAGAGTACTATGTATGAGAGTACTATGTATGAGACTACTATGTATGAGACTACTATGTATGAGAGTACTATGTATGAGACTTTGTATGAGAGTACTATGTATGAGAGTATGTATGAGACTACTATGAGAGTACTATGTATGAGAGTACTATGTATGAGAGTACTATGTATGAGAGTACTATGTATGAGAGTACTATGTACGAGACTACTATGTATGAGACTATGTATGAAACTACTATGTATGAGACTACTATGAGAGTACTATGTATGAAAGCACTATGTATGAGAGTACTATGTAGGAGAGTACTATATATGAAAGTACTATGTATGAGAGTACTATGTATGAGAGTACTATGTATGAGAGTACTATGTATGAGAGTACTATGTATGAGACTATGTATGAAACTACTATGTATGAGACTACTGTGTATGAGAGTACTATGTATGAGATTACTATGTATGAGATTACTATGAGAGTACTATGTATGAGAGTACTATGTATGAGTGATATGTATGAGAGTACTATGTATGAGACTATGTATGAGACTACTATGTATGAGCGTACTATGTATGAGACTATGCACGAAACTATGTATGAGACTACTATGTATGAGAGTACTATGTATGAGATTACTATGAGAGTACTATGTATGAATCTACTATGTATGAAACCACTATGCATGAGACTACTATGTATGAGAGTACTATGTATGAGACTACTATGTATGAGACTACTATGAGAGTACTATGTATGAGACTATGTATGAAACTATGTATGAAACTGCTATGTATGAGACTACTATGAGTGTACTATGTACGAAAGTACTATGTATGAGAGTTCTATGTATGAGAGTACTATGTATGAGACTACTATGTATGAGACTACTATGTATAAGAGTACTATGTATGAGGGTACTATATTTGAGAGTACTATATTTGAGAGTACTATGTATGAGAGTACTATATATGAGAGCACTATGTATGAGAGTACTATGTATGAGAGTACTGTGTATGAGAGTTCCATGTTTGAGAGTACTATGTATGAGAGTACTATGTATGAGAGTACTATGTATGAGAGCACTATGTATGAGAGTTCTATGTATGAGAGTACTGTGTATGAGAGTTCTATGTTTGAGAGTACTATGTATGAGAGTACTGTGTATGAGAGTTTTATGTTTGAGAGTACTATGTATGAGAGTACTATGTATGAGAGTACTATGTATGAGAGTACTATGAGAGTACTGTGTATGAGAGTTCTATGTTTGAGAGTACTATGTATGAGAGTGATATGAGAGTACTGTGTATGAGAATTCTATGTTTGAGAGTACTATGTATGAGAGTACTGTGTATGAGAGTTTTATGTTTGAGAGTACTATGTATGAGGGTACTATGTATGAGAGTACTATGAGAGTACTGTGTATGAGAGTTCTATGTTTGAGAGTACTATGTATGAGAGTGCTATGAGAGTACTGTGTATGAGAGTTCTATGTTTGAGAGTACTATGTATGAGAGTACTGTGTATGAGAGTTTTATGTTTGAGAGTACTATGTATGAGGGTACTATGTATGAGAGTTCTATGTTTGAGAGTACTATGTATGAGAGTACTATGAGAGTACTGTGTATGAGAGTTCTATGTTTGAGAGTACTATGTATGAGAGTACTATGAGAGTACTGTGTATGAGAGTTTTATGTTTGAGAGTACTATGTATGAGAGTACTATGTATGAGAGTTTTATGTTTGAGAGTACTATGTATGAGAGTACTGTGTATGAGAGTTCTATGTTTGAGAGTACTATGTATGAGAGTACTGTGTATGAGAGTTTTATGTTTGAGAGTACTATGTATGAGAGTACTATGTATGAGAGTACTATGTATGAGAGTACTATGTATGAGAGTACTATGTATGAGAGTACTATGTATCAGAAGTATGATCTGAGAGAAGTGGGTCAGGAGGATTAAGTTAGTGAGAAACAATCATATTTTTTCTTGGAGGAAGGTGTAAAGGAACATTAAGTCTGTCGGGAATAAATTCAAGGAAACGTGAATTTATTCCCTAAGTAATTCATGGTATTTCAGGATGTACAACGATGGTTATGAGAAGTAATGTTTATTTTGATGTACATGTAGTGAGAAGTCCCTTGTTGCTGGTGGTGGAAGTTTGATCCTAATAAGAACTACCCCTCCAGTTGAGACCTGACTACTTTGTTTCTCAGGCGCAGTGTGACCCCTAGGAGTTTAGCGCTGTGTGACCCCTAGGAGTCTATTGCTGTGTGATCCCTAGAAGTCTAGCGCTGTGTGACCCCTAGGAGTCTAGCGCTGTGTGACCCCTAGGAGTCTAGCGCTGTGTGATCCCTAGAAGTCTAGCGCTGTGTGACCCCTAGGAGTCTAGCGCTGTGTGATCCCTAGGAGTTTAGCGCTGTGTGATCCCTAGGAGTCTAGTGCTGTGTGATCCCTAGAAGTCTAGCGCTGTGTGACCCCTAGGAGTCTAGCGCTGTGTGATCCCTAGGAGTCTAGCGCTGTGTGATCCCTAGGAGTCTAGCGCTGTGTGACCCCTAGGAGTCTAGCGCTGTGTGATCCCTAGGATCCTACGCTGTGTGATCCCTAGGGTCAGTGCTGTGTGATCCCTAAAGTCAGCGCTGTGTGAGCCCTAGGAGTTAGCGCTTGTGATCCTAGGAGTCTAGCGCTGTGTGATCCTAGGAGTCTAGGGTGTGAGATCCCTAGGAGTCTAGCGCTGTGTGACCCCTAGGAGTCTAGCGCTGTGTGACCCCTAGGAGTCTAGCGCTGTGTGACCCCTAGGAGTCTAGCGCATTACCATGAACAACATAATAATCTCACCAAGGAATAGAGTTAGTAATACAGTGTAAGTTCCTGAACGACGTCACGACCAGCACCACCATATCCTCGTCGTCAGTATAGTTGACGTAAAAACTTGGAGGCAGCTGAAGGTTTGTCGAGTTAGAAAACTTGCTTTTTTGAATACGTTTCTCGGGAGTGAAGAAAACGGGATTCTGCCTTGAAATACTTGAATCTGCAGAGATAAAAATATACGAATAAATACACGAATTAAAGTAAATAATAAATAAAATCAGAAATATATCAGTCGTCGTTTGATCAAGCAAGGTATTCTTGTATCCCAGTATCTCCCTCGTCAGTGTGTGGATTGAGTTGTAGGATGTTGGAAGAGTGAACAAATTGCTGAACAATCATTTATTGAGACAGTTTTACTCTATGGAGATCGTTATCAAGAATGGCGAAAATAAGGAAGGCTACGCAAGGGGCTATAGAAATACGAGTAACTGGGAGGTCAATGTGAGTGCAGAAAGAGGTATTATTAACAGGTAGTAGGGCGTCCCCAGTATGTGATGCTGAGAGTCGAGCTTTATCTTTTCTTGAGGCATTTTTTAGTTTTCATCGAGTTTAGAGCTAGAATTCCATCATAACTTCTCAAGCGATCTGTAATTATAAACTTTACAAGTTTGCTCGAGGTGACACACAGAAATGTAAGAGCCAAACCAGTATTTTCTTATACTTTTTCTAAATCAAAATTTTTCCAACTTGAACCCAGTGCTGTATTATTATTATAATAAAAAAGAAGCGCTAAGCCACAAGGGCTATACAGCGCTGCAGGGCAGGAAGGAAGCGAGGGCATCAGGTGGCAAAAGGGAGATGGATGAGTAATAGGTTACGGATAACAGCGGGCAGTGGATGGTGAAAGGGTAAAGGGCAGCAAGAGACTGAGCTAGAAAGGGCTGAGGGGAGTGCATAAGGTATCATCATCAGAGTTTGTGGAGTAAATCAGTCGTTGTCAAGAAGTCAATGAGAGAGTCAGGATTAAAGGAGGGTCCATCATCAAGAAGGGAATGTAAAGAGAGAGTAGTAGAACGAAGACGGCGTTGGAGGTAAATTCTGCGTGCTCGTTGATAGAGAGGGCAGTCTAACAGAATGTGGCTAATCGATACTGGAACTTGACACTGCTCACAGAGAGGTACAGGGTGCCTCTCCATGAGATACCCGTGAGTAAGACGAGTGTGGCCAATGCGAAGACGGGAGTGGTCTCCCAACCACGGCACTGATGACAAGAAGACGGCCAGTAACCTATGCTCGGTTTAATAGAATGAAGTTTGTTACAAAGCAGAGTTGACCAACGTTGTTGCCAACGGGCGCGAAGGTGGACAGCTATTGTGGCAAAATAGTCCAGAAATGGAACACCTCTATAGGAAATTGGTAGGTCATGCACTGCTGACCGCGCAGCAGTGTCTGCCTGTTCATTGCCCTGTACGTCGACATGACCAGGGACCCAACAAAAAATGATATCTTTATGCTTCTTAGAGATACGGCGTAGCCAAAGTTGGATATGGAGAACTAGGGGTGAGATGAATCAAAATTTCGTATAGCCTGTAGAGCACTAAGGGAGTCTGAGACTACCACAAATGATGACACAGGCATAGATGCGATACGAGTAAGTGCTGCAAGAATGGCATACAGTTCAGCAGTAAAAATGCTAGCCGAAGATAGTAAATGCCCTTGCACGACACTGTCCGGAAACACTGCTGCGAATCCGACGCCGTCTGAAGACTTAGAGCCATCTGTGTACACAGCGGTGGCATGAGAATGGGAGTGGAAGTGATCAAGAAAAAGAGAGCGGGAAGCCGCCGTAGGCAGTTGAGCTTTCGAGCAAGGGAGTGAGAAAGAACAGACCCGAACAGCTGGAACTTCCCAGGGGGGTAGGGAAAAGTGAGATGCTACATGAACATATAAAGGTGGTAACTGAAGGGAAGACAAGAGTGAATGTAGGCAAAGAGAAAAGGGACAGAGCAAACAGGGGCGGCGAACGAATAAAGAATGTCTACTAATATCGGTGACCATTCTATAAATGGAAGGATTGTGGAGATCGTGAGAGCGTACATAGTAGCGAAGGCAATGGGCATCACGGTGATCAGACAAGGATGGAACATTCGCTTCTGCATAGAGGCTCTCAACAGGGGAAGAGCGAAAAGCACCAAGGCACAAACGTAATCCTTGGTGATGGATAGAGTTAAGGCTAGAGAGTAGCAGCAGGAGAGGCCGCGGAATAAATCTGGTCACCATAATCGAGTTTCGATAAAACGAGGGCTGAATGTAGGCGAAGCAGAGTTCAACGATCAGCTCCCCAGGAAAGATGAGCAAGGGTTTTAAGAAGGTTTAGCCGGCTGTGACAAGTTGCTTTCAGAGAGGTAATGTGAGGTTTCCAGGATAACCTATGGTCAAAGAGAAGGCCTAGAAACCTGACTGTATCACGTTCGGGGATACGGGAGCCATAGAGATACAAAGGATGATCGGAGATAACAGAGCGTCTAGTGAAAGTAATTTGGTGAGTTTTGGTACTTGAAAATTTAAACCCATGCGTGGTGGCCCAAGTGGAAACACGGTCGACCGCATGCTGGAGAGAAACTGCAATAAGATGACAGCGCCTGCACAAGCAATAGCGAAGTCATCAACATAGAGTGATGACAAAATATTGGGTGGAAGAACAGAGGCCAAATCATTTATAGCAAGGAGAAAAGTGTTGTGCTTAGAACACATCCCTGAGGGACACCTTCAGCTTGGACGAAGTCCGGGGAAAGAACATTATTGACTCGAACACGGAAATGTCTGTCAGTTAAAAAGTTCTTAAGGAAGGATGGTAGATTGCCTCGGAGGCCTAAGGAATGGGCCTGGGCCAAAATATTATACCTCCAAGTTGTGTCATATGCCTTCTCAAGGTCAAAAAATATGGCAATAACTGAGTGATTATTCGCAAGGCATTACGAACATACGTATCCAAGCGTAGTAAGGGGTCTATGGTAGAACGACCCTTACGAAAGCCATATTGACTAGCGGAGAGACTGTTGTGTGTCTCTAAATACCACATTAAACGTCGATTTACGAGACGTTCCATCACTTTGCAAACTGCACTAGTAAGAGGGATGGGACGATAGTGGGAGGACCCAGTGCTGTAAATCCTGTCTTGGTTAGATATTTTTAGCACGTTATATACATCCACTTTATTTATTCACGTCTTTCATTTATACATCTTAATCCTATTTCCCCTAACTGTTAACTTTTTTTCAGAGCGCAGATTAAGTGTCTTCAGTCAATCCTAGTTGGAAAGATTTCGGATACATGGGATCGACTTTCTTCTAAATATGTTTCCCAGCGCATTTATGTCTATTCCGCAATATGGTGACTAGAACTCCGCAGTAAAATCTAAATAAGACCTTGCGAAGGATATATAAAGTTGTAGAATAGCCTCACATCTATTATTTATACTTGATATGAAACCACGAATTCTATTAACTATTGAACTGGCTTTAGATTATCGATAACTAGAACTTCTAAAATTTTTTTTCTTTAAGAGCCAATGAGCTCTATATTATACAGTTTATATGTGCCATTGTTATTTTCTTTTTCCCAGGTTCAGAGCTTTACATTTGTCTGCAGTAAATTGCATCTGCCATTTCTCTGACAACTGCATCAACCTATCCATATCTTTCTGTAGCACTCTAGTGTCTTCATCAGAATTAATAGGACGGCCTCTTTTAGTGTCATCGGCAAAATTGCTTATGTCAATATTTATTCCCTCATCTATGTAGTTTATGTAAACTGTGAACAACAAGGGACCCAACACTGACCCCTGTGAAACACCGCTTGTGACGTGCCCCCAATCTGATTTCTCCCCATTTATGCAAACTCTGTTCTCTCAACCACGCCTCTATCCAAGAAAAAATTTCTCCTCCTAGTCTGAGAGCCTCTACTTTCCTCAATAACCTCCGATGTTTAACTATCAAAATCCTTACTGAAGTCCATGTACACAATATGATATTCATTACCATGATCTACCTCCTCAAATACCTTAGTGAAAAATGTTAGTATATTCGTAAGGCAGTAACGCCCCTTTGTAAAAGCGTGTTGAGATTCATTAATCAATTTATCTTTCAAGGTGGCTTCGAGTAGCCTCGGCAATTACTGATTCCATCAATTTTCTTACAGTGGTGGATAGGCTAACTGGATTACAATTCGAAGCTAACGAACTGTCTCCTGCTTTGTATTATTATTATTATAATAAAAAAGAAGCGCTAAGCCACAAGGGCTATACAGCGCTGCAGGGTAGGGAAGGAAGCGAGGGTATTGGGCGACAGAAGGGGGTATGGATGATTAGTAGGTTACAGAAAACAGTGGGGCAGGGGATAGTGCGGGGTTAGAGGGTAGCAAGAGATTGAGGTAGAAAGGGCTGAAGGTATCATCATCAGAGTTTGTGGCGTAAGTTAGTTGTTGTCAGAAAGTCAATGAGAGAGTCTGGATGAAAGATGGGTCCATCAGCGAGAAGGGAAGGTAAAGAGAGAGCAGCGGAGCGAAGACGACGTTGGAGGTAAATTCTGCATGCTCGTTGATAAAGTGGGCAGTCTAACAGAATGTGGCTGACCGATACTGGAACCTGACAATTCTCACAAAGAGGAGCAGGGCGTCTCTCCATGAGTTATCCATGAATAAGCTGAGTATGGCCAATGCGAAGGCGGGAGAGAGCAGTCTCCCAACCTCAACACTGGTGACAAGAAGATGGCCAGTAACCTATACTCTGTTTAATAGAACAAAGTTTGTTATTGAGCAGAGCAGACCAACGTTGTTGCCAACAGGCATGAAGGTGGGTAGCTATTAAAGCAAAATATTCCGGAAATGGAACACCTCTAAATGAAATTGGGAGGTCATGCACTGCTGACCGCGCAGCAGTGTCTGCCTGTTCATTGCCCTGTACGTCAACATGATCAGGGACCCAACAAAAAAACAATATCTTTATGCTTGGTAAAGATACGACGTAGCCAAAGTTGGATACGGAGAACTAGGGGGTGAGGTGTATCAAATTTCCGTATAGCCTGTAGAGTACTAAGGGAGTCTGAGACAACCACAAATGATGACACAGGCATAGATGCTATAAGAATAAGTGCTGCAAGAATGGCATACAATTCTGCAGTAAAAATGCTAGCCGAAGATTGTAAATGCCCTTGCACGACG